TGTAAGTGTGTGCGTGCTGTATGGTATTGCGTTGTGATTGTGTTAAATTATGTAACCTGACTTCCCGCTGGTTGCAGAACCGCCGATCCCAAGGCTTCACCTTTATTCTTTATATCGAAGTGGCAGTCCGTCACAAAAATTTAAGAATCTAGGAAATTACACTCGTTTCTCACTTGTTAATTGGAGTCAAGTCAATTGTCATTAGGTTAATCCAATAAAATCCAACAAGATTTAACCGAACTCGCGTTACAACAAACTCGACCTTTGTGAAAAATGCAATATCACCGGGCCGCGTTGCAAACAACTCAGGTTCGCGAAGTATAGGCGTCAGAGGCAGCGGGCGACTAAGCTATTAACACGACGCGCAACTACTCAGTTCCACGCTCTGCGGCAAGTGTCCGCAAAAACGCCGAAGCCGGCGCGGCCGGACGCCGCACCAGCCCGCACCCCCCGCGCCTCAGCCGTCAGGCTCGCCTCCCGCTCGACCCGAGCGCCGACGCAGGCCGCCAAACGTTAAATTAGGCCTAAACATCAAGTGTTATTCTAATTTGTCTAAATTGATATGATATTGAGACTCTTATTATTTCAAAATTTTTCATTTGAGTTTAATACACTACCGTTGCTGCGAGAAAGTAATATTTTCTTTAATTACATTTAATTAAAAAAAACTTTTGCACCAGTTTCTTACAACTTGACAAAACATTCCTAAATAGCAAAGTTTTTGTTCGTAACTTAGCACGGTGCACTAAGTGCATTTTTTGTAAATTGGACAAATAGTTGTTACATTCTCCTTGTTTTGGATTGTGCCCTGCCCTATGGTTATATATTATTTCTCCAGCCAGCCATTATTAGTAATTTAACTAAGTTGTCAAGATACTAGGGATAGTTAAAATGTGCGCACAGGCTCTAATCGAGGCAGTGCGCTTTGATTCTCGTTTATTTGGTACACAATTGCAACGGAGGTCACATTATTCATACGTTATAATCTATCAGGAATGCCCTGCAGCACATAGACTGCCTCAAGGTGAGGATACTTGCCATAGTTGCCACGCTTGGCAGGCTGGTTAGTACCCACTTCTGTTTGATATCCCCATGTCATCTCGTACGACACGGATTGATATGGACATACGATATATTACAATAATGTAAGCAAATAGAGAATTTAATAAACGCAAATGAAGCAGGAAATTATTCCGAATAATTAACTTCACCATCCTCGGCTTACTTGTAAGTAAACTATAGTATTAATTAGTCACACGGCTCTGTGCTGCACGCTCTCGTTTGTTATCTGTTCCTTACCTAATGGAGGAGAGTTCTTCCTAGGTATTATGTAGAGCGTTCAGGACACCGAGTATAAAAAATACTTTACATTAGTAAATAAAAGTGATGTTTTAAGCTTTTTATAACGTATCATTATTTTTGTATAAAAATCTTAGTATATTAAGAATTATATTTACGAGATAGTGGTTTTATTAAATCATATGTTTTAAGTGAACAATTACGAGTATTTTTAAAACAATTGTACAACGAGTGCTTGGTTATATAAATTGCAGTAACGATTTGGATAATTGTTGTATTTGGGTATATATTATGTACAATCTTTCAGAAAATATTTTTTTAAACGCCGAGAAAAACAATGATTGAATGCAGCATTTTGTCATTATTATAAGTAATTATATCCTATTTCAGCCTACCAAAGTCCACTGTTTGAATCAGGTATCCACGGTTTTAATTAGGTATCCACGGTTTGAATAAGGTATCCACGGTTTGAATTAGGTATCCACGGTTTGAATTAAATATCCCCAGTTTGAATTAGGGCCAGCTGTCGGCCACGGAGGCCGGCAGCTTGCCCTCTGACATCTGCAGCGTTGCACCACCAAACGGTCCGTCTCCTGCTGGCATTGACTTCGGGTACGGACAACCTCCGTGTTGTCCTTCGGTAAAATCGGCATGATTTGATCCCAATTTTTACGACATTAGGGTTCGTGACACTAAAAATTGCCGATTGAGTTACCAAAATTGACACTTTAATTACCGACACCAATTAAAACTTAAAAAACACTAATAATTAATCACACTTAACACTTTAGTTCACTTTATTTCGCATTTAATTAAATATTAAATTAAATACTTATCTGAGACGGTGCACGATTCGGCATTATTTATACTTTTCCTTTATTTTTTCCAAGTTTTTTAATTTTTTGTCATTCAAATTATAAGGGTTTTGTTTGAGTTTTTAGCTGCTGTTAACGGCATTGTGTTTCAATGGAATTAAATAAGTTTGTCTGAATTGCATGAGGTGGCTGTTAAATTTATTATTTGAAAAGTCCCTCCTAAGAATAACAATATCTCCCGCCGCAGAAGTATACTGGATTATTTGTATAGCACTAATAATCTTTTAGGGGTGGAAGTACTTAGGGTTATAATCAACGTTTACTATGAGACCAATTCTGAAATATTATAAAAATTATTTTCAAAAACACGACTTCCAACGCCACCACAAAGTATTAAATATTTTTTGTGTGTTCATCATTTCATATGTTGAAGTCGAGTGAGTATAAAAAAAAACAACAAAACGGACGAGAAATGCAACTTCAAAATACGTGAAAAAATACGCGACGAATTGAGAACCTCCTTTTTTGAAGTCGGTTAAATACGCAGTATATACTCAGTTTACAAATACTTTTTTTGTTACTTTATCTTCCACACACACGTTATTCTACGAGTCTTTGAAAAATATTTTTTTGATAAGCTTATACTTAATCAACACTCTTAATCTTCAGTGATATGTGAAATATTTCTTCTATTATAATACTACTAACTCAATTATACACTATTGTTTTCACTTAAAGATATTCAATACTTGGTAACAAAATCCGAATAATTTTTTCCAACCTGAAGGCCGATCTCGTCTCCCTCTCAAGTTGTTCGAAGTGTACTAATGTTTTACAAAACACTGACGTCTAAAGTCATTCTACAATGATGTCAATAATACAATATTTATTTTGGTAGATTTATAAAATAACATGGGTGAAAATTGGTAACAAAGAAATTGGTTTCATTAGGGAACTTTTTACTGGACTATTTAATTTAAATTTCATAAAACGATTTTGAATTGGACCAATCGCACTAAGTAAAATGAAATTCAATCAGTTATCATATCGTTTGAAATCTGTAACGTTCTTCATGTTCAAAAAAATGATTGGAAAATTTGCACTCGAAGTGTCTGGAACAACAATGGGTCGGCCGCTTTTCCATATATTCGAATTTTTTTTTTGATTTGGATTCTATTTTTTTTTATTTTTAGTTTTGACGTATTTTGAATATTTATACGATAAGTTCATGAAGTATCATATAATGATGTATTTTTAGCACTTGGATACATTTAAACACGGAATAATGTTAACTTAAAACATCGGACAAGTAAAAAAGCTCCGCGGAAAATGTTTAGGAAATACTCATCTGTTTCTTTCTTTCCATCTCTCACACTATTTACGTATCTCCCTTTCAAACGTCTTTGGACTTTTCCTCTCTCGTGGCAGATTGTGTTCCTGCTCGCGTAGCATACGCGTGCTGCTAGCACTCAACTTCGAGGAGAAATTCTACGATAATCATGTGCAACACTGCGGCGTTGATCGCGGTCTGAACTGCGTTCTCGAGATCGCTGCAATTGTAGCCGACGTTCACCACAATCACTGTGGCTGCGGCTTCGACTGCGCCTCTCGGTTCCTCGCAGATGTCGACCGCGGCCTTGGGACCGCTGTCGGTCACTGGTACCACACGAACTACCAGTGCGTCAAGAATTCGCCTCGGCTCCTTTGTCACTAATTTTCCTGGAACTCGGAAACAATTTTCATGTATATAATTATAAAAACGAACAAATCTTTTATTTATTCATTGACGGAAGGTATTTTAAAATTTATTTTATTATTGCTTATCACAATTTTTATGTTATATACTTTGACATATAATGTAATAGCATCATCGTTTATGTATATAATAATAAAAAATCCGGCCAAGAGGGAGTCGGGCCACGCTCAGTGTAGGGTTCCGTAGTTTCCCGTCCGTCACAATAATTTCCCACCCACTTATGAGTTTAAAGGTGGGTATCCATTATGTTCGCGCTCCAGCAGCGTTCCGCGCTCCTGCAACTGCTCCCGGTAGTGGGTACTATCGTGGTGGTATCGGGTGGGTAAGATCGTGGGTTGGAATATTCTAGATTATGTCTTATCATTGCAGATACACCAAATCCGGGGTTTGCAGAATACTGTTTCGGGCCATTTGTTCGAACTATTTCTTCAAAATTATTCATATTGAATAAATCTTGAAGGCAACTCCAAGTTTCTACGGCTAAATAAATGTCGCATGCCATCGTCTGCGGATGGGTTACTACATCCTGCAAGTGTTTACGTAGAGATTGTACGTTATGGAACATAATTTGGCAGGAACTGCGGGGCTCTCTTAAAAAGCGACATATGGGAATCAGGGAATTAAATTTTAATTTTCGCATTTCCGTTACGACGGAATCATGCTCAGATGGTGGACGTGGAGGACGAAAGGTCTCGGTAACAATGAATAAACCTTGAGCGCTAGTGGCACGTGAGCAGGCGACGTATAACATAGATCTTAAAATATTGGGCTTTAAATGTACTACAACTTTTTTAAGGTGGAACCCTGACTTTTATGTATAGTAACAGCTTCAGCGGGAACTAGTGGGAATTGACTGCGACGCACTTGTAAGTTTGAAGATTTGTACCTTTTCACAGTGTACGTAATTGGCTCTATTGAAGTCCAATTATTTTTTAACCGTGTTTGATAACGAGTGAGGGATGTTGAATTCTTTTAATTTGCCTATATTTACGTCATCGAAACATATCCAAATGCGTAATGGTCTTCTCTCACCGGTAGTTGGATTGACTGCAAAATCAATCGCAGTCAGTACCCCCGTGGTTACATTCACTAATCCGTCTGACGTGTTAATATTTACTGTCATCATATATTTAGCCGTGACTTTTAGATGTAGGTAACTTGGCAACTGTGTTTAGAGCTTTTTCTTTCATAGCAGGATTAGCTTCGCCACTTACTCTATCCACAGCCCGGGATATCGCTCCTTCGGTAGTCATATTTGAGAGTATTTTAGAATTATGCTCATCAACTTCTCGGTTACTGCTGAATAGATGAACTGCGTCCTTACACGTGTCTGGAAGCGATGAGTTACTAAAGCACCGACCTTCAATTAAATTGACATCTTCAGGTGACATACATCCACTAGCCATATTATTTAATGCCATTGCAAGGGCAACATCATCCCTTTGACGCATTATTTCTTTAAGCTCTGTCAGTACAAATAAATGCCAAAGCGGCGTACCTGCTATTTCTGCTAAAGGATTTCGAGAATTAGCTTGAAACACCCAGTTGTCGCCAACACGTGGTAATTGTCTGAAGTCTCCAACTACTACCACTAAAATTCCAGAAAAGAAGGTAGAAGAATGAAATATTTGCTAAATTCTACGATTTATTTAATGGAATGTCCTGGATCCTAGCATTGAAATTTCTTCAATTACAATTAAACGTAGTTTTGCTAGTTTTGTGGCCAGAGTATTGGCCACACTTGGCGACAGCTCTGGTAAAATATTGCCCGCTTGAGACACTGGAAGTCCAAGTGCGCTATGGATTGTTTGCCCACCTATTCCGAATGCAACTTTACCGCTAAAATCTGTTAAAAGTATTTTTAATTCATCGGGATTACTACCAGCTTCTCTGTTAAATAAGAGAGTTAGGCATTGATAAATTGCTTTAATCAGAATACTTTTGCAAACGCCAGCCCCACCACTGATAAATAAATATAGTGAATGTGGAGAAGTAATGGAAAAGTGTTGATAAATATGAAATAACGTGTCTCTTTGAGCATCATTTAGTTTTCTAGTTAGAATCAAAAAATCGTCATGGGACAAGAGAGGTGGCTGCGCAATGAAAGTTGAGGGGTCACCACACAATTGCGGCCCGGGATTTCCGCCTGGAATGAGTTCTTCTGCTATATCTACTGTTTGCGTCTCAATTTCAAAGCCTTCAAATACATCCACGTTGAATCCTCTTCCTTGCAAATCTTCTTCTTCGTTTATTAATTCTACATTTCTTATTTCTGTTAGCAATGTTTCAAACATTTCAGCATCACCTAGTTTATTGAATTGTTTACTTTCGGCCTTTATTCTTTCTTTATACTCGTCAAATATGTCCTTTATATTTATGTTGGGATTTAGTAATTCTTCCTTCTTGCTTCGCCAAGGCATGTATAGCATTATCTGTTCCCTATAGAAATTGTCTGGATCATCAATGTAACTGTACCGGCGAAATCGTATTACTCGAGTTTTAGTTCTTTTCCGTATGTATCCTAAATTATCTTGCAAAGGAATCCAATTCCCTTCCGCTTCAACTTCTTCAACAGCCTGGGAATAATTAATTGCTTGAGAACTGTCATTGAGAGTTTCTATTGAACTAGCTGAATGAGTTTTTTTTGGAATAGGTGTAATATGCTACAAAATGGGAAAGACTTATGTTTTCTAACGATAGTGGTAAGATAGCGTTTTGAATAATAATCAATAATACCCTTTTGAAATATATCGGAAGAATCAGGTTCGAGGCTTTGCAATTCAAGGTATCTTTTTAAAATATGCACTCGCTCTTGTGGAAAACTAGTGTTGTGCAAACTATGTACATTGCAGCTTCACTAGCTCGTGACAGCGGTAAACCAGTCAGTACATAGATTGCCTCTTGAGCAGAGATCTCACTAGAATTTAAGAATACATTAGATACTATTCTTAATGAATCTTTAACACTTTTATTTCCTTTTTTAGCTTCGCCCAAAGCTTCATCCAAAAGACGAGACATCCCTCGGTCAGCCTTGTTAATATAGTCAACAATATATACTGCGCACGCAAAAAGGTCTAATATGAATTGGATGTCCATGTTTGCTTTGTGCAAAGCTAAGATTTTTTTTACTAAAAGGATTAATAAATACATCCTGAGGTCTGCGTTGAAGGACTACCGTAGGTCGTTTTTAAGATGCTTCTAATAGCCAATATGTAATCTTCATAACTAACTCTAATACAGTCCAAAAAATCAACGAAAGTGTATATTCCTGCAGGAATATTTTGTATTTTTTGGCAGATGTCTTTTGCCAATTGTTTTGACTTTTTGAACTCCGGATCGTCTTTTGAAAGTTCTATTAATACTTTTGTTTTATCCATAAGGAAAAATTGTATTCCAAAGCGACACAGTCTATCTGATGTTGGCCGGCATGTATGTGTATGTTTATGTAGTTATAGACGTCTAAGTTCATCAGGTACTTCAGTGCTGTTACAGGAAATAATATTGTCAACAAATTTGGAAATATCACGAGCAGATGCTGTATCACCGGGTACAAAATTGGGCGCTTCGTCTAACTATAACATCATATGAGCATGAGGCGATCCTCTATGCTGAAATTCAATGCGATAATAAAAGGGAGTGATTTTATAATTTAAGAAAGGTCCTAATGAATAGGACCAGGTTTTTTGAATTTCTTAAAATTTGATTTTTATAAGGCGAGTTTTTGTATGGTATGGCAAGTTTTCCGCTTCAAGCTCAGTAAGTTTTTTCTTATCAACTACTTCACTAAGCAAAATTAATAATGGAATCCATTGCACTTCAGCAGCAGATATAGTTAAAAATAAAGTGGGAACACCGAACTGTCTAACCATTGCCAACAACTTTTTTTTTCACTTTCCCAGTGAGCAGGAGAATTTCTAATTCCTCCAAGAACACGATACCCATCGTCATGTTGAACTAAATTGTCAACAAAATTATTTTGAAGCACATTACATGCAAATACAGGGGCACCTCTAACAGTTTTTTTGCGTAAACAGGTCGTAACATTATTTTTGACGGCAATAGTTTGTTGCTTTTTCAGGGCAGTAAATAGGTAATCAGGTCTTACAGCTCGCCTGTCATTTCTGGAAATTTCTGAACGTGTGACTTCAGAATGACTTAAGTTCACGAGGTATTTTCACTCAATAGCGCAATGTACTTTTATGAAGGGCAGCTCTTCCAGATGACGATAAAAGCAAGAAAAATGGCCTTTCACCTTCTCCTGGAGCCATAACTATTGTTAGGTCTTGGTTTTCATCAGGGATCTCATCAACATTGCTCTCCTGCTCAGATGAACTACAGGTACATTCGACAGTGTCTTCAGGTTCATTATTTGTCCATGAACCTTCAAGTTCTATACCATATGTCCGAAACAGATCACACGTTGCTAAATATTCCGCTGCACTCCGTATGATTTCCGGGCGGACTTGTTCTTTTCGACCATGTTTATAACAGAATTTACGCTTCAACTCTACAGTGATGACATTGTCATCATTTATCGACCGAGGCAAAGCGTTTACTATGTTATTAATTTTTACAGGTACATTAATAACATTTCCTGATAAACCATGCTGATATCCTAATCCCTAGCCTCTACGAACTATTTTCAAAAATACGTGACGAGGACTTACTAATCTCTCCTCCATTGAAGTTAATTCATTCAAAACATCCGGAATATCTGGAAACTTCAATCTATTAGCTATTGCCAATCGTGGCATTCGCCCTTGAGTTATATATTTAGCACACGTACAGTAAAACTCAGCAGATTCATCACAAGGATTTAAATTAAATACACTTAACGCGAATTCTGCATTATATTTTGTCGAAATAGAATGCTTTATTATTTTCCTTACAGAATTTTTGTGCCATAATCTACCACAACATGAACAAGGATGATTGTATCCTTCCTTGGTGTTAACAAAATATTTTCGTTTAACATTATCCCAATCATTAATAGAATTACAACGCGCCAATTGTCGAGCTCTGGTGTCTCTAGCTCGTTCAATTTGTGAATAATATGGATGTTCGCGAGCTATTTGGTGAGCCTGGGTATCACGCCGTTGCTTTATATCACGGAAGACTGGGTTTTCCCGAGCTATGCGGTGAGCATGCGTATTTCGCTGCTGTTCTGTATCCCGGAAGATAGGGTTTTCACGAGCTAACCGATGAGCCTGCATGTTGCGTTGTTGCTCTGCCTGTATAATGACGGGAATCTGACGAGTGGACCTGTGGCTCTCAGTATTTCGTATTTGCGTAGTCTGTGTGTAATCAGTATTTTTTCTTCTACGTTTGGCTTGGCCGGACCCAGTATGTTCGTTGTTGGCACGTCTTAATGTAGGACTTGGTTTTTCTTGAGTACTATACATAAGTGCTAAACAGTCAATGGTCTGGATATTATTAGTCGGATTTTTGTCTTTCTGTGATTCATCTGTAAATGTTGGACTTTCAATTATCTGCGTACTACCTGTAAACTTTGGACTTTCAAATATCTGCGTGATACTTGTAGACGTTGGACTTTCAAATATCTGCGTATTATCTGTAAATGTGGGGTATTCAATGTTTTTCTTGTAATTAACGTTTTGACTTTCATTTTCTTGAAACTGTGTCTTTTGAGGCCTTTTGTTTTTTTTCTTTTCGGCAACCTTAATTTTACATTTTTCTTTCTTTGCTAGTATATTAAGGAACAAATTTGCTGGGGGTCGGCCAGCTCTTCTTGCGGTATTAGTTGATGGGAAAAGTTCTAATACACCTCGAGATAACATATCAAACAAATGACGTCGCATGTCCTCGGCAATGAAATTGATACAGGATGGATTAACTCTCAAAGCTAAAGCGGTGGAAAAACAAATGGCGAATAGCCCACACTCAATACTATTATTTGGTTGACGTTGGGCACTAGGGAATTGTATTTTATTATTATCCAAGTATGGGAATAGTGCGTTAACGTAAACGTGCCGCAGCACGTTTTTCGTGCAGCACGTCATTCGCAAATGACTTAAACTATTATATAAACTATCATAGACCTGTAATATTCCATTGATGTAATAAATGGAAATCCAATGCCCCACTAACCCGACTTCTCCGCCATATATAATTTGTAAATGAGACTCGTTTTGACGCACAAGCTCTATTAGTTCCGGATAAAGAAAAAGAGACACTTCTCTAGGCCGAAACGATGTGTGTTGGGCTAATAAATCATGAAAGGCGCGCACAGCGTCGTCCTCAACATGATTATTACTGTTCAAAATATACGAGATGATTTTAATACTGGACAATAAGTAATTATACACAAGTGTGTTTCACACTATTTTAACAAACTAGCCCACTTCGAATCGTAATTAGCTAGGAGTTGTATGTATGAAGTAACTGCGTACTGTGCGTACATACAAAATTAATATGAACAATATCCGCAAAAGAAGTTAATTTTACCCACAATCTAATTTAATCAAACTTCGACGACTATTAGATTGTGCACTCATAAGATTACGAATATGTTTAAGTGCAACTTCCTTTACCACGGTAAGTCATGAAAGCACGGAAAATATTAACATCGACTTTTAATAAAATGACGACATTATGCAACGCCATCTATCGAACCATTTATGAACTGGTTTTTACCTTAACATTTTGATGGCGTTAAAAAAATGAATTTTAGTTTTGTTCTAAATTGCCTTAACATGTTCCTGACAGAAGTTTTATGTTGTTATAAGATACCGCCAATGCCAAGGAGAGACCAACCGAACAATTCGATAATACCCGACCCAATGTAATAAGTACCGACAGCGCTCGGGGAATTGGGTTACTAATTAATACATAGACGTGCCAGAAGTTTTCGGTGTTAATTTTGGATTGCGAGAAGCGATTTTAATAATTCTTTTTTTGTTTGAAAAAGATATGTATACGATGTTAAAAAAAATGCTTGCATATACGATTATATTACAAACTTAGTCCAGAAATTATTTTGTACAACTTTTTATCTTTTTTGTACAAAAACTGTTTCCATCCAAGTTCAAAATAATTTTCCTAGAAAGTCCTTATAAAGTTCTACTTTACAGATTTTTTCGTATTTTCTAAACTTATGGTTCAAAAGTTAGAGGTGGGGGGGACACGTTGTTTTTAACTTTTGGAGCGATTATTTCCGAAATTCATATATCAAAAAATATCAAAAAAAGATTTTAGTAAACCCCTATTCATTTTTAAATACCTTTCCAACAATATATCACACGTTAGGGCTGAAATTAAAAAAAAAAATCACTTCTCACTTTACATATAAGGGGGCTACCCTAATAAAACATTTTTTTTTCAATTTTTATTTTACCTTTTTGTCGGCGTGATTGATACGCATATTGGTACCAAATTTCAACTTTCTATTGCTAACGGTCACAGAAATTAAGCGAGGACGGAAAGACGGACAGACAGACATGGCGAAACTATAAGGGTTCCTAGTTGACTACGGAACCCTAAAAAGATATATGGTTACATATACATGGTTCACTAACTAAAGTAGTGCTAGTGCTAGCACTCTGTTGTCACCAAATCACTTCCACCAGCTTTATTTTGCACTTATATGATTTTAAGAATAGGACGCATATAGCAAGAAGAGATTTCAATTGATACTTCTGATGTAATTATAAGACTATTCATTAGATGGAAATAATTAAAAATAATTTCACCCTGACATCAGTGGGTCGGTATGGATGTGAACGTGACATCTTTCGAAAAACTGAACTTATTACTTTGATTCTTTTTTTCTCTTTAAAAGTAAAACGTATTTCGGTAATTAATAAAAGTAAACTGATTATCACTTTGGGCACGTCTTACACGATAGACATTAAATTTCCTTAAGCAGCCGAGCAACTGCATGTACAAATTAATGTTCTATGAAACTTCGAGTCAAGTTGTAATATATTATTCTTCTTCTTAAGTACAATAATTGTCTCGCTTTATCCACATCAATAATTTAATTTATAAGTAAAAAAATATAGTATCTAAAGTCCTACCCTCCGTGGTATTGTGCCAAGAATTTTTTTCATTTTAATGCTATTGTATATTCTACTTAATGGTGAAATAAGCAACGCCATGATAATTATGTACAAAGTTTGTAAATGAATGAAAGTTTATAAAGTCAAACGGCCAAAAATGTCCCAATGCTGAGCTTTATACATATATTATCAAGCTACACATTTGCATGTAATGATAATTAGATCTTCTGTGCGTGAAGATTATGGTAATATTAGGCGAATAAATCAGACAAGATGAAATTAATTTCCGATCTCACTCCCAACTCGTACATCTGGAGGCTTATTAAAATTATTTATGGGATCAAAGTATGGCCACGTAGATTAACGATCAACAGCTTATATTTAGTCATTCGAAATATAATTTTATTCAATTACTAACTACCAAATTACAATAATACAAAAAAACATCGTCCGTTGATATCAGTGAATCTTGTTGTAAAGGTATCGTTTAATTATACATTAACATGCATACATAATTTAAGGCAACTTTAAAAGCCATGACAAATCAATCAGGAGCACATCTGGCATTGCTTTCTTTTCAGTTAGTGAAGTTTAATCAAAATCGGTTGAGCCATTGCCAAGATTAGTCCCGACAGACATAAGGAATGAAAAAAAATTCGTGTGGCACTCGGGGACTGCCGCGACAAAGCTATTGCATAGCATTTTTATCAGCTTATGCAATTATAATTATTTTATTTATGCAGTATTTTTTTTGATATTAAATAAAGTTTTGCTTTGATATTAATTCAAGTTACACTTTTTGAGCGTGGTGACCGATAAGAAAATATTTTTTTTCTTTTATTAAATAAATGAGAAGTTAATATTGTTTAAAATATATTTATTATCTTACAGTAGATGTAGGTTATTCAGGAATTTTTATCATTGAAACTATAAATTTATGGTAATTAACGAGGTTTTCCGACAAATGATAATTTTCTATAAAGTCTGTATTTATTAAATACTCTAATTTCACGAAATTTGCTAGCATGACGACGACTCATATAAATCCAAAGAATATGCTTCTTGCAATAAACTACATTATTGATTAAAATATTTTTTATTCTTACAATACATGCAACTAATCTACACGCATACGTCTAGTAGTACGCACACAAACACCGTGTCGAAGTCTGCCGAACTTAAATGACGTTAGACGGTGTTAGGTTTTCGGGTCTAAGGTTTTTCTCGTTACGGAATTTCTTGATTCGGTCGCCGCGCTCAAAGTCCGCGATAAAAGCTATGCAATAGCTTAAAAAAATAAAAATGGTTATTAACTTTTGTTTATAGTATGTAAATAAGATATACTATTCTACTATCTATATTACTATTAAGATAATACATACGGCAGTTATTCAATATTACAAGCAGAAACTTTATGAGATTCGCCAAGATAACTTGGAACATTTACGATATGTATTTACTTTCGCTAACGCGCCGAAGATGTGTTGGCTCTAAATAACTTGTATGCATAGTTCATATATGTTGGCAAGGCGAATTTATTATTTCTCTAGTCTTACGTGTCTTAGAAATTAATATAAACATATTGAAATGTTTTTACAATTTTAAATAATATTATCTGAAGTGAGTGGAGGATAAAGATATCCAGACCGGCAACAGGGAGCAGTGTCAAGGATACGAAACCTACTCATTCTCCGTGCTAGCTTTTATTAAATCTCTCGATTTTACTAACGGAAATGTATCACATAAAACATTTTTTTTCTCATGACCTCCAGTTGCTTTTTTTACTCCAAATCTGATCTTGTCTTCTTTTACAAATCGACATATATTATAAATGAAGGGAACAAAGAACTGTGATTTTATATTATGATAGTTAAAAGATAAACGACCTGCTGCAACTTAGCATAAAATATACTTGTCCTTTATGCATAGCCAGCCTTCAATGATACCGTGTTTGTAACACTGCCAATTTTATTGTAATTTACTGCAGAAATAGTTTGTAGCACGACAATTATTCGAATAATTTTCCTAAACTTTACATGAGAGTTGTAGTGGCATGGCGGTTGGTCGATGTCGATGGTCAGTGCGTGGCGTGCGTAGCGTGCGTGGCGTGTGTGGCGTGCGTGCGAGACATGCGAGGCGTGCGTGGCGTGCGTGGCGTGCGTGGCGTGCGTGGCGTGCATTGCGTGCGTGGCGTGCGTGGCGTGCGTGGCGTGCGTGGCGTGAGTGGCGTGCGTGGCGTGCGTGGCGTGCGTGGCGTGCGTGGCGTGCGTGGCGTGCGTGGCGTGCGAGCGTGGCGTGCGTGCGTGGCATGCGTGCGTGGCGTGCGTGCGTGGCGTGCGTGCCTGTCGTGCGTGACGTGCGTGCCGTGCATGGCGTGCGTGGCGTGCATGGCGTCATGGCGTGCGTGGCGTGCGTGTCATGTGTGGCGTGCGTGGTGTGCGTGGCGTCGTTGTGTGCAGCTGGCGGCTGCTGCTGCGTGTCGTGCGTGACGTGCGTGCCGTGCATGGCGTGCGTGGCGTTCGTGGCGTGCGTGACGTGCGTGGGGTGCGTGCGTGGCGTGCGTGCGTGGCGTGCGTGCGTGGCGTGCGTGACAAGCGTGGCGTGCGTGGCGTGCGTGCGTTGTTATCGTGGCGTGCGAGCGTGCGTGGCGTGCGTGCGTGGCGTGCGTGCGTGGTGTGCTGCGTCGCGTGCGTGGCGTGCGTGGCGTGCATGGCGTGCGTGCGTGGCGTGCGTGCGTAGCGTGCGTGCGTGTCGTGCGGGGCGTGCGTGCGTGGCGTGCGTGCGTGGCGTGCTTGCGTGGCGTGCGTGCGTGGTGTGCGTGGCGTGCGTGTCGTGCGTGCGTGGCGTGCGTGGCGAGCGTGGCATGCGTGCGTGGCGTGCGTGCGTGGCATACGTGCGTGGCTTGTGTGCGTGGCGTGCGTGCGTGGCGTGCTTGGCGTGCGTGCGGTGCGTGGGGTGCGTGGCGTGCGAGGCGTGCGTGCGTGGCATGCGTGGCGTGCTTC